CAAATGAGTGGGACTGTGTGCAGGGTCTGACAGGGCTAAAGTTGCTATTTACGTGTGGTGCATGACCTTTTTACCATCATACGTACCAAGCTACATCAAAGGACTTGCCTTCCGTTTGCGTGAATTGACGTGCGACGTTTCGTCCACCACACTGGCGGAGGCATGGTAGATGCCGCTGCTGCGGAGAAGCATTGTTCTACGTCGATATTGTGTGTTTGTGGAGTAGGTTCCTATACAGCCCAGGGTTGCTTGTGTGCAACTACGGCCAGGTGTAGGGCCTGCCTCACAATTTTTCGTACGGGGAGTTTAGCTAATAGTAAGAACCTCAGCCGCTGCGACCTTAAGACCCAGTTCCTTATGGGTAGAGAAAATTGAGAGGCCAGATGGAAGGAATAGTTTATTTTGTACAGAATAAGTGAGTAATAGGTAGGAGGAAGTTGACGGTCGAACGAGCATAGGTCTGCATTCGAGCGAGAGATTGTCCTAAGTATGTGAGTGCGGGAATCCTTACAGTGTCTGAGGGAGCGGTATTTGTATGAATCAGCCTTAAAGTTGGTTGGCCAGGCAGATTAGGGTGGCCTAAAAGTGCGCATGTACTACCCACGAGACATGCCTACGTGTGGAGTTTGCGACTGTGCAGAGACCTAGCATGGGAGGTGGAAGACACTGCAGGGTCAGAAGAAATTTACTTTAATGTAAACAAACGGTCTAATGAAATCAAGAAAGTAGTATTTTTGTATTCATGATGATATAATTTCGCGGGTTATTCTTCAAGGTATACGGCTCACACTGAATACTGTCTGCATAGCCCTTGAATCGATCTGATATTTCAGACACAAAGACAATGGTCTTAAAAACGCAGTTGTACTACGCTCGATTAAGCCATATTGTTTGCCATTATTAGAAGATAATTTTACTGCGGGAATAAGGTTTTAACCCTGGAGTTTCCCATTCACAACCAAAAATAACAACGGAATCAGTACCTACAGCAGTAAATCTAGTTACCTTGAATTCATCTGTGTCAGGCGCAGATGCAGGTGCAAGTGCAGATGCTGCTGATGCACTATTAATTAGATGGACAGTATTTTCTCAATGAATGAGTGTCTATTTGACATTTAAACGTTGCAAAATTTTCTGAAAGGACAATCGCATCCGAGAGTCCGGTCCATGCTCGAAAGACCCTCTCCGAGATGA